GTCCTGAGGGGTGGCACGGCGGCGCACCGTTCGGCGAGATGCTCTGGAAAATCTTCAATTAGCATTCATAAGAGCGTCCCGATTCGAAGGATCGCTCGGCTGAATGCAAACGACCGCGCATTTGGAATTTGTGATTTCATCCAGGCGCGGCACGGTATGGCGACCGCTTTAGGAAATTTCTAATTTACCCGAACGTGCTACCTCGCCCTCGTCGAACGAGCGAGGGAAATTTCTACGAGTTGAGCTACGACTCGGTGAAGAACGCTTTTTCCGAAGTTCCGAATTCGAAGAGCGCATCTAGCATCGATTCTTACGATACCCGCGGGACGATGCGATTTTATGCACATTTTTCCCGGTCTCATTTGAACCGACGCCTGTGTAGAGTTCATCGAAAACTCGGTACGAATGCGAATCTATCGATGGTAATTTTAGAAATCAGCTAAGGTGGTTTGAAGAGCATTTACCTCATGTCTGTATTCAATGAGAGATTTCAGAATTTTAAATAACGATTTAACACTAGATTGCCTGAGGAAGTCATTTTGACTGCTTTGGGCAATATAGGTATATACTAAGTTTCAGTCTTTCTAGTGTTAAAAATAAATTCTCATAACACCTTTTAACAAAATCAACAGGTAATGAATTGCAACGGATGGCAAAATCGATGGGTTCATTTCTATGATGAAACACGACTGATAAATAAAATATCACGTGAAAGCAATGTATCAGAGTGCAGAACACGTTAGAAAGCAGTATACAGTAATTACAATCAGGACTGGTCGTTTTTCTACGAACCAATTGCCTAATGCGCAACTAACGAAAAGTGCTTCGCAAAGTCTTCCCTACGGCCTGTCGATAATTTACAGGCGTCGGGAGTTTAATACCCCTCATGCCTGTCAAGACGTAAATTATTATTGAAAATATCGCCGGGGCGGTGGTACTTTCTTCGGAAATTTTCCGTGAAAGCTGGCCTCGTTGTTTCCCAGCCATTAAGCGTCTGAATAATTAACGAGAATCGTCAGGAAACAGTTCCGCCTGACTCGAAGATTTTACGCATCTACTTCATGTATTTAGCACATTGACAAATGTTACGACTAATGTCAATACGTTCTCTCAATTGCATATAAATAATGAAGTACTCATTGCTTCAGCACGAATCACATGATAGTAATTAATTGTTTCATGTTTTATTACGTCTTAGAGTCGCGTATCGAAAAATTGCGGCACGCATTGGTCCGTGACGAAAAAAAAAATGTTGGGGGAATCGATCCCATTTCGATACGGTTGATTTAACCGGCGACGCTTCGTACGCGACACGGCGTGCTTCATAATGGAAATGGAACTGTCGATAATTTCCAAGAAATATGATACACTCACGGTGATGTAGGGGAACCGGAAAATTATTTTCTAGTTGAGAGAACGCCTCTGATACCCGTACACCTTCTGAACGAAAGTCCCGGCCGCCGAGTTACGAGGCCCGTATAAATCTCTCGCCAGGCCGAATGATTCGCCGTCGCGCCCGTTCCCATTGATAAATCTTGATGCGAAAATTGATTATCGAGCGAGAATTTTCTGCAGAGAACACTTCATTTTCTGTCTGAACTTGACAAACAGGGCGGCTGACTGATCTCAGTTATCGAGTCACTCTTCCGACTTATTTTTCACGCCATCGAAAAATAGTATTAAAATTGTACGAGCTTTCATTCTTGACGTAAATCGTGAATGAAACTTAACAGACGTAAAAATCATATAAAATTACGTCAGAAGTCGTTATTGCTTCCGACGGTAGTTAATTGAGGAGCATTCTTGATTAGCAAGGGACACCGTTTATAACGAACGGAGAAAGGGAATGAATCGGAACTCAGCTCGTACATTCTAGCTTAACGAGTAATTATTTCAGAACGGAATAAGATAACGAGCAGTAGAGAACGGGGCACGTCCTCATCCTCTCGTTTTCCAAGTCTTAATAAAATTCCATTTTCTTTTATTTCTCTTCCTTATTCCGCGCTCGCCGAGATTTACTTTCCATTTTTTATACCGGACGGTCGGGTTTTCCTTTGCCCCGCGGTTTCTCAGTATTTCCTTTCGCCGGGCTACGCATTGTCCCTCTATCTCCTCCGGCTTAAACGCGAAATTCTTGTTGGAATTCCCACGCCCGGTCTGCTCGCCTTAGCTGTTACACGGATATTTATGCTAAACAGGGATTTTGAAATACGATATTGTACCGCGGGGCAACGCTCCGCGATCAAAAGGACGCGCGAGGCTGCGTGGAAATTGAAGTTGCAGCCGGGATCAATAACACCTCAGTGTTGAGACACGTGTTCCTATGTACCTAAGCTTTTAATTTTTAGAAATAATGTGTGGGTAAAAAGTTATTAAGTGTATTTCCAATGAGAAGTGCATACGTCTTCCTTTTGATGATGTCGATCGAGAAGGTAATAAGTCAGCAATCCAATTGAAAAAGCTATTTCTTTTTAACTAGCTAGATCGACTTCTCGTTCGTCTATTCGAGACAGTTCAAGCATAAAGGAAAGATACGAGGATCAGAGGGAATGCATCGTCAATGCGAAATGGATCCCTTCGAGAGTCGAAGATAGGTCGATACTTCGACTACCTCGGCTCCGACTCTTCAATATTCGTACGCTCGATTTCGATGCTCGATGCATCTCGAGATACATACTAGCTTTCCTTCTATGTACAATGAACGGATGCTACTGCTCGTTTTTAAACGTTACGTCCTCTCAAACCACGGATTTTTATAAATCGTAGTTTTCTCAACTTTCGAGTCTTGTGAAATTGCGAAGAGAACGTGAAGGCAATGCCTTACAGGGAAAGAAATTGATAAATCGTTCCATGGGAGCGACTCATTCAAAACATTTAGAAGAAACTATTTGAAATTAATATTCGAATGCAATTTGTATTAATAATTCTTGTCGTCCTGCGAGGATTTGAATTGCAAGAATTCTAGGGATATACAAAAATTTATTCTCATGAAATATCGAACATTTCAAGTACGTATGTGTAATAATTCTGCTAAGGTAGGAACGTAATAAGTTCTGTTACGCGTTTTAGAAAACTACTTGTTACAAATTCCGCTCGCAATGGTGGAAAAATATTTTAGAAAATTTCGGAGACGGACTGCGGGATTGTTTTACTAAATTCTGCTTCTGACAGAGCAATAACAGTTTTACAAACTCCAGCCCGTCGTCAGAGAAAACTCGCATTTTCTACTTGTACCCGGTAGAAAAGTACATTTCTGATATCATCAGCCTGAAAGCGACAATGCGTCTCTGTAAACATGTCAACCCGATACGCGGAAATTTGCTTTGTCGTTACACAATTTTCCACTTTACAGAAAAACTAAACAGGAGAATCATATGAGGTTTTGTGAAAGCGTGCTTGACGTTTTTCTAAATCGACCTGTTTGTATATTAGCGATAATTAAAAACTGTGATCTATTCTCGGACAACGTTCTACGAGTTTACTTAGTTCGTACCGACGGTATTTCTTGTTTTCAAAAACAGCTCTGGGGAATTTACATGACAGTTTTGGAACCAGACAATTTCAAAGCAGAACGGGAACCAGAGAACTTGGATTCAAGGTGGAAAGGGTACAAGTCTCGAGTTACGACGCATCGGAAACGAAGAAGCTGCAGGTATCTGCAGTATTGCAGTGTCCTCTTACAAAGTATATCGATGCAAATGAAACGACACGATGTTAGGAACGTCAGAGGAGCGTGGGTGAAGGAATAACAGTGTAAGAGTAAATTGTGTGTTCGTGCCAGACGTAAAACAGTTGATTGCCTTCGAAACGGTGTGTTTCGTTGTGACGATCGTACAGACAGGGTGAAATTGTTCCAGCGTTCGCGGCGGAGTGCCTATTGCCGGTAATGAGAGAGAACAATTCGATTAGGCTCGTGGCGATAAAAAACGCGCGATGAATTGGGAACGTGGGTGTTAACTGTTACGAGCCTGGTTACGGGTGTTAAAGTTTCAGTAGCTTCGTTGCCTGTTCACATAACAGAGAAATTACTTCTTTAATCCCTCGAGGCTTATCTGCTCACTTACGTCACATGGATCAAATATTAACACGATCAAAAATTGATACCCTTGAAGATTAATAATTTGTAATTGAAGTATCGTAACATTTCAAGGTTTATTGACGTAGCAGATAGAATTTATGTTTGCATCACAGATTATATTTCTATGATTTAATATATATTACTTAATATATTAAGAAATTGATGAAAAATCTAGAATAAGAAATTGATGAAATGATTGAAAAATTCTTCAGTGGAACATTTTTCTTTAGTGTAGGCTCCAAATATCAATTTATAACACATCTCGTGAGCTCAACAAAAGAAAGAAAAAAGGGACGGGACGGTAGAACCGATCCGGATAGAAATATTTTCGCTATCCGAGCCGGTTCGTTGCAGACGAACGAGCTCGAATTCGAATGCGAGCCAAGCCCCTTTTTGTGTTCGTTCCTCGGAAACGCGCGAACGAGATCACCGATGTGTGACGAGATATCTCACACGAGAACCCGAAAAGGGGATGCTATAGTAATGGCACGATGAACAAGAGGGACTTGATGCGGATTCACGCTGTTTTTGTCAGACATGCTGTAACATCGAGCCACCCGCGAATTTCGATAGTCATTGAACACACCGCGCGTACATCAGTTTTGTATGAAATTCATATTGTTTGCGAGTAGCCTCCACGTGCCTCGGATTTTTGTGTGCACGCATCGACGCATCCAACAGTTCTAGTGCAACATTATTTTATCGTATACCCATTTAACAATCACATAACTCTATAACGTATACGTTTATTTATAGTTTCGATTTAAATAACGAATTCACAATTATTTGTATTGTATAAATATATGATGTAAAACTGGAAGTCCAGAAAATCCAGAACGATAGATTTAATATTTCTAGTGTTCAATTTTTTACTATTCAGATTCCCATCTATTTTGAATCGTGGGTAAATTGATTCACTTACCACGCACAGCTGGATCGTCGTCGATTTGCAACTTGAGGGAAGCAGACCTTCTGGAGAACCTCAACGTGTGCCACATGTCGTCGTTTAACCCTTGGCCAGTAATCAACGTCTGGAAATTTGAACAAATGTGTTTGATTAAAGTCAAGTATATACGTGGTTTTACCGGAAAGTTATGAAAAACTGGAGAACTCTGTTGAAACTTTTAATTTAAAGTATAATGCGTTGCCCGCAAACTTTTTTATGTTTCAGCTAAATACAATGTTACGCTCTTAAACTTTTAATTTTCGCATTTCACGAGTAGAAATATTTTTACATTTTATCATCTTAATAAAGAACCAGATTCTGTTCATGATTAAAATGTTGATTTTCCCTTTCTTGCATAGTCGATGGATCATGACCAGGTCAAAGGGTTGAGGAATGTGGGTCTTGAATTTACGCTTTTGGGCCAATATGAAACGAGATTGATCGCGTGTTGCACAGGATGTAACCCGTTCAAACGGCGAGGAAACTCGCGCCGCGCAGTGGAAACGCCTCGGGCGGAAACGTGCCGATTGAATTACGTCGCGCGAATGCAATAATGGATACTTGAGCGCGAGCAATTAGAGCCGGGCAACCACTCACCATTAGGGAAATACAACGTTGGCCAGTTTTGGTCCTTAACGATCCCACGACACGACCGTTAACAAAAGTCACGTGTTCCGAAGACCATAGACGAATTAAGAAAATTAATGAAATTTCTACTTAAAACACTTCCAGAGTATAACTAATCTCATTTTTAAAATGGAGCAAAGAAATTTTCTATGATATAACTTTTTACAATAAATAAAAATCCTCCTCTGAAAAAGGCATTGAGATGACGAGCTATCATTGGAAAATCACATGGCGATTGACTGAAATCCACTTTCATCTATGTACTTTCATAACGAGCAACGCAGGCACAGGGGAAAATGTATGCGCAGCCCCGTTCAGCGTGGCTCATGCAACGGTACACGGCATAGTTAACCATACCCACCCAGGAGAGTATGGTAGCATCGATAAACTAACAACACGCGGCGACTCTCGTTTGGTTAAACCACCATAAATCCGGGCAACTCGTCACTATCTGCTAACTGGTTCGGTCCACGCCGCAGGCCGCGATATTCATCTATCACGTGGCACCTGACACACGTTTGTCACCTGACGTCACCTTTGCGCCACCGACCATCCCTCGCGTTCAACTCTGTGAAATTCAACCGTTATTTTCAATCGCTCCGCGGTGACGAGATTTCGATCTATCCTCCCCGAATGAAATTCATCATCATTTCATGTCGCGCTAGATTGAATCAATTTCAATTCATCAATCGATGATATCGTTCAAAAGGTTTTATAAAAATCGGCAAAAATGAAATGTACGAAATCTGTTCAATAGGCGATGATTTATTAAATTAAGGAACAATTTTAGATATATCGTACGTTCCAACGTTAAGTTTCGTCCCATTGAAACGGCGCTTCCTAATGATTAAAATTAGGACCTAATGCACCGAGCCAACCCGAGACACAGAATTCCAGAGAGATCAGAAGATGGGAAAGACTTCGCATTGAAGGGACGCTCTTTACCAACGCGCCGGGTGAAATTACATAGAAAGTCTATCAGTAGACGGATATTACGGTTCCCAACCGGTGGCGGGAGGGGGACGAAGGGGGCCGGCGAACTTTATCGCCGACTCACGCTCGGATAATCGCGCACCCCTGCAGCCACCTACGAATCAATCCGGCAATTAAGGGACGTTTTGTCGCGGTGCTCCAGCCCGATAGGAGCTTTATCGAATTCATCGGGTTTCGGTTCTCGCCGCCTCCTCCTCCTCCCCCCCTGCTCCGCGGGTGCATCCGCGCAGGAAATCGCAGTTGCATAAAGTGTTCAATCGTGCCGCGACGCGCGATACAGTTTATCGATTGTTAAATCCGCCTCTTTCTATCCAACGAGCCGAGATTGTAACGGTTTCATTAAAAATAATTAAAAATTATACATACTTCATAGGAGAATTGTATTGCTATTCTCATAACAATTTGACACGATTTGCTGTATGACTAAAATCGATTACGTATAGATAAGAACAATACTTATGAGAGTTGCATATTATAAAGCATCAATTACACGAGCACGTGATTTGATTAAATAAATTAAAATTGACCATCAAATCCATGATGTATTATATTTGATCGCCTTTTATATTTGATACCAATTTGATTTCGGTAACTAATATTGAAAGCTCGTGCCTGGGCTGGAACGCGTACGGATTATACTTTAATGAAATTCACACTTTGATTTTCTCCGAATTTATCATCGATGAGCGATTGGCAAAATGTAGATATGCAATTAACCAAAATTTCAACGTTAATTATAGAATACATATTCGAATAAATGTAATAAACTTATCCTATTTGTGTCGGCACGTGATTTGATCGCGAAACTATATTTTGTTTTATGATTTCTATAAACGGATTCAGTATAGAACGGCATACTTTTAATTAATAACACATTGTGTTTCAATCTCGCGCGAACGCGATTGATCAATACCATTGCGAAAGCGAACTTAATTACAATTATTGATGAACGTTAAATAATTGTGTTAAAATCATACTACAATCAACGGAATCAATCAGAAATATTACGTTTCAATTTTTACTCAATTCGTTTCTATCGGAAGTCCCTGCTCTTTTATAAACGTCGTTCAAATTCGGACGGACATCCGTGTAACTGGCGCGTTGAGGAAAGAATCCACAAACTTCTGAACCGTAACAAATTTCGTAGAACACGGTGTCGAACTTGAAATCAAACCACGAAGACTTCCGGTCTTCCATTCCGGGGAGAATTAACGCGATCCAAGTCGGGAAAATATCTCTACCGAGGGTCGAACTCTTTCACGAGCTCGTGAAGCAAACGTCCCGAGCCTTATCGCGTTCATTCCCCGATTGCTTTTCCCCCGTTCAACGAACCGACCGATCGCCGGTGGAAGTTCTTTTCACCGATCACCGGAGGAAACCGAAACCGAGAGGAAAAAAGTAGGGAAACGCTTAGTTCGACGTGGCTGGAAAGAAACAAACGCGCCTTCCCATTTTCGCTCCCGATAAGAATTATTTCCAAGAACGACTCGGCTGCATTACTGCCGCTCCGTTTGTTCTTGACGGATAAAACTTGTCGGCCGTGGGTGAGAGAAAATAAAATAGGAATGGAATGACGCAGCCGTGACGATCGGTAAAAGGGAGGAAAAAAAACATGACGGATAGGGGCGCGAAAGGGGAAACGCGGATCTCCCGGAAATTGATCAGGCGATCGTAAATATTTGACGAACCCGGACAAACTTTAATTAAAATTCGTTATTTAAATATTCGGCCTGGTTACAAAGAAATTTCACCGCGGGAAATCAGCACGCGGTGATTTTCACTGCCTTTGTACGTGACAATCATTTTCTTCTCTTTTTCCTTTTTGCAGAAGAAAATGCTGCCTCTTAGGTACGATATTGATCTAGCTTTACTATTTTTCATAATCACGAGAAGAAATGGTAGAAATTCATATAAGAGAGAGAGAGAGAGAGAGAGAGAGAGAGAGAGAGAGAGAGAGAGAGAGAGAGAGAGAGTAGAGAATGGTGAATTGTAATTTGGTCGATTGAATAAAATTCTTGCCTCAATTTTTTATTAAATTTAGAAACTGTTCTAAATATATTTCAAACGTTAATTCAATTATTCGAGATTTTAAAACGATGAGCTAGTAAGAGATATTCAGTGTTGATCAGACATGAAAATAGGATATCAAATGTCTACCAAAGTGACAATGATCTATCTATTATCTATTGTAGATAAGATCCCCTAATTAGGTTTCCTAATTAGCTTCACTAATTCTACATACATCATTTATGACACGCAGACACGCATAAACCTGTCGATCATAAACAATTATAGTTGCGAGTTAAACTGTTTACATCACTTCAATTCATTTTCATTGAACATTCAATATTTAACGATAATTCTATTTACTCTGCTTAGATCGCGTCAATAATTATTCTATGTAAAAATGCATGTAAATATATACAAACATTTCCCTACATCAATTAACATTAATTAAAACGTCATGAATTCATTATGCTAATATTAATAATAATAATAATAATTATGAAGCTTTAAATAATTCATTGTACTCTATGAATCATTTTTTAATACCTCACTGTTTACAGCATAATCTTCAGTGCTTTTTTTATTAAAATATAGCTTACTCCGGATTTTAAACCCACAGTTAAAAAAATCTTTCTATCGAAAAAACTCGACTAATATAAGAGAGGATCAGCGGTTACTGATTCCGGGGATGAATCCGGGACCGTTCGACCGCAGGCCGCTACTTCTCCAATTTCATTTCTCAATTTATAACGTTAGAGATGTGTGTGCAGCTAATTTCCCACACCGTTAATTAATACGATCCATTTAATTGGCACACAACGTTCACCCAATGACCTGATTCTCGTTTCCACCTGTTTACCGGTTGGACAATTCTAAATCTACTTGTTCATATCAGAACTGCAGATTATAATCCTATTTGTTTAATCGATAAAATTTAGCGTGACACCATTCGTCACATCGTCTTGATAATTTGTTCTTTACTTATTCTATCATTTTTAAGTAATCAGATGAATTATAACAAAAGGCATAATTTACACAGTACTGTCCTTCCTCTATCAATGATTAATTAACGATGTATAGGCTATACACATACTT